GGTCACTTTGTTTCTAAACCATATAAGCTTATCGGTAATACTTGGTTGAAGCTCGTACAACTAGTCAAAAAGTTCTCAAACTGGGCCTCAATGAACAATCCTATCACTTTGTAACCTAGCCTGAAAGACTGCTTCTAACCGTAGTGCATCAAGGTTCACATTTGACAGATTCACCACATACTTACTGGGGTCCCGAGTACATGGCTCCTCATCTTGGCTGTTCATCGATGATTTTTTGGAGCCGTGCTAGTTCCTTCACTTTGGTACGATCGATTTTGGATTTACAAAATTGGGTGTATGAAATCCGACAACAGACTGTGACAAGCTTTCGACTACGGACAACCGGCGTACATAGGTATCCAGTAGGCTATCAAGTCTGGCTCGCGTGGTCTCCAACTGGGTAAATGGGATGCGCCTGAGATTAGCAGCAGAAGATTTAAGCTTGTTTCTACCTAACAGTTTCCAAATCGTCCGAGGATAACGGCGTATGCGAACACAATCCGACAAAAATTAATTTCCACGCTATGCGAGCAATGTTGCAACCCAGATTGACGATACGATGAAGCAGCTTAATGGAATCAGGGGGAATTCGTCGATTGAGAAATTTAAAACAGTTAGCTACCTTTAGTAGCTTGAAAAGCACAAGTTGAAGACGAAGTTCGGCAGATGCATGCATTTCGTGTGGTCTCATCAGTGCCGATAACGATAACCGGCAATTTTATATGACAGTTTGTAGATACAGACATACATACATATCGGTTAAGGATAACCTTAACCGGCACTGATGAGACGATACGAAATGCATGCATCTGCCGAACTTCCTCTTCTACTTATCCGTACGTTGCTGTTTGCTGACGACTGTGCGTGTTTGTACACAGCCCGAATGAGTAGCCGCACATGACTAGTGCTCTGGCTTCGACAGCGGCCAAATTCGGGCTCGTCATCAACACAATCGGAAGTGTCTGTCACTTTCAGCTTTCACCGGAAGTACAATCTTCACTGGTGCCGTTAATCGGCATTAGTGCTGAGGTGTTAGAAACCACCTTCCGCTTCTCCTACTTTGGGAGTGTGATGTGGACTGACCAGCAGCTTCACAGCGAAATTCATATCCACGTCTCGAAAGCAGTGGTGACATTCGGGAAGCTAAACTACAGAGTGTGAAAAAACCATCAGCTTACCAATGGCACGAAGCTGATGGTGTACAAATTCATGGTGATGTCCGTTCTTCTATACGGTAGCGGAACGTAAACGATGTACCCGCGGGGATGTGAGATATCGCAAGTGGTTCCATCAACAGTGTTTGCAACGGATTCTACGCATCGGATGGAGCGACAGAGTTGCGGACACGGAAGTGTTGCGACAACGTGGAATGTATGCTGCAGACTGCATACTTTTGCGGAGACATTTCAGGTGGCTCGGTCATGTGTGGCGTATGGATTCGACGCGGATACAAAATACTAGATGGTCAAGTGGGTATTAGGAAGCGGAATGTGGGAAAACCGAAGTTTCTTTACCGGGACAAGAGCAAAGTGAGTCTCTCGCGTTTTAATCTTGATTACAGGGCATGGGAATCGAAGGCGGTTGATCGAGATGCATGGCATGATCTGATCATGAAGGCAATTGCCGAGGTGCAGGAGAAAGGCCACATCAATGCGGAGAAGAAGCGGCAATTGTCGAAGCGACATGAGCCGATGGGTTGTACTCCATCGACATCGAGCACATGGTGCTGTAGCCTATGCGGTCACGCGTGCCTGAATCACGCATGCCTAATGAGCGATGAGCGAGTCAACTCGGGGCCACCACCAAAGGGACGGCGTGTCCTGCAAAGAACGTAGGCAGAATCGGCGCAGCGTTTGTAGGTACGCTGCATTCGATTTACAAACCGCGTGCTTGCATGCTGAGTCTCTGTATTTCAGGTAATAACTTTTCCGTATTGTCTTTATACATTTTTATATTAATATCTACCTGAACTACCTTCTGTAAACTTGCACAAATCGCTTAAGTAATTGTAGTTAATTACGATAACATCTTCGCGTTTGTGGCATTTTCTTAAGATATATTTTCCGAAGTTTTGAAACTTTCGCGGAATTTTTGCAACCAATTTATTTCATGCTCTCATTTAATGAGGAGTTATATCACGGTGTCTGCATGCATTGCTCCATTTGTTTTATTTCATATCGTAGTTTCAAGTAATTGGCTGTTGCTTGATATCCCCGGTGTAGCTATGCTTATTGTGCATGTTGACAAGGTGGCTACCGGTCCGTTACCCACTACCTCATCCATTTGGCTCCAGGAGACAGTCGGTCGTTGCTGGAGGGGACGAAGTGCACGGTCTTTGTGGCCGTGTTAGGATCAAGGAGTGGTTCCATGCACTCAGTGTGGAGCGGACTACAGTCCAGCCACGCCTTGTATGCGGTTGATTCCCAAATACAGTGTGCTTATGTTTGCCTGTGAATGCGTGTGGGATGGCTCCGTTGATGAAATGTGGCTCCCATGCACATATCTCCTCGGTCTTATTCTTTCGGTTTTACACTGGATATGGGGTGTGTGGATGGAACTGGAGGTGGTGCATCGCAAGCCACCTGTGGGCTCTCACTAGGCGCAGGCATCCTGTGACTGGCCACAGTGACAGGCGAATCCGAAACCGGATGCCGCCAACTATATATATATATATATATATATATATATATATATATATATATATATATATATATGATTTGGGCCATAGCGTTAATTTTTACATATTTTTCTCAGTGGGTATGTGCGGGATTGCCGTCCGAACCCGCACATTTACTTATCTAAGGGACCGTTAACAGTATCTTCGCGGACGCAGCTTTTTCCTTACCTGGTGTGCGAATTGGGATTTCCTATCGCAACTCTTCTGATCGTTTCTGATGAGTTCATCTTTTGTTTCGCTGTGGCATATAGTCGTTATAATATACTGGGGATTTGTGCACTTTGGATTCGGCTGTTATCTTGTAAGCTTGCGCGCCATCATCTCGAATAAACCGACAGATTGTACAGAATGTATTCGCCATACCCTTTGGTAAAGTTAAATGAACTCATTAACCGTTAAGCTGCTACCTACAAGTTCATCTGATCAATTTGGTCGACCTTTTACAGTCTGCTCATTCAAATATGTCACTTTAGTGTTGCTACTGCCCACTGCAACAACCGTACGTGCGTTATCTGTTGTGTTAAGACTCTTTGCCAGCCTACTGTGCCTCCTTGCTAGCCCTCCACTTCCGTACTCGTTGCGCATTAGATTTGCACCCATCGGTCCTTCCAGTCGACAATTTCTGTACATTTCTGAGCAGCATTTGAGCACTTTTCTGTGAGTGAGTGTAACTCCATAATCATGTGGAAACAAGCGTGGCTTGTATCGTCGAGAATAACTGTTTATTTATGTATACCGTTTAGTTATTTATGAACAGGATTCCACCTGCAGTCAATGGCAATTGATTATCGTTGCTGTACCTGCCTTTCGCTGAACGGTTTTGGTGTGTTGAATAGCGCAGCTCTCACCCGCACAACCTTCGCTCATCACTGCTCCGCATGGCGCAGAAGTGCACGTCGATCCAGCCATTGGTCTCGCTTCCAATCATCCTCTCAAGTCAGTCATTTCGGTAGACTCTGGATTCAGTTAAGTTCAATTGAACAGCTATGATCCGAGCAACCAATTGCGGTTGATATAGTTGCACGACTCACACCATGTGAATAACAATAAATAACGAAGGTAGGATAGTGGAATTGGGTACTAATAGGATGTAGATAAAATGAAAGTAAGCAGCAAATGCATCAGGGTGAAAGGAAAATTAATAATAAGTTGCAAGCAAATGAATTCAGGAACGCCACTGACTTCGTGACTGCGCCATGTCTGACACGATTTCCAACCAATGGTGTGGACCGTCCTGAGACTTTTATCCAGGAAGACGGCACGCATCAGCCTGACCAAGTCTCTCTGTTCATTTCATACTGCCAACTCACTGTTTCGTTCAATCTGGTGCAGCCACGGCGTATTATGCACGCCCAGGAAACCAATCGACGGGCATACGGAGGACATAGCCTAGCCAACGCAAGCGACTAAGATATATCAAACACACGTGAGAGGCACCAGAAGGCCAAGAAACAATCTGGAGCACCTCAGCATTACTCACGCAGTTTTCCAATCAAACGAGCAATACTTCGCAACCGTCGGTAGATAAACACGTCCATGTGTTTACTGTCTTCATTTCGAACTGGCTATGTCTCTGATCCGTACATTAGCGCTGGCCTTAGCGTTATACAACCTACCTTTCACTGACAAGCTGATATTCCGCCGTCTCCATAGATAGTTGAGTCTGGAAAGCCACACGGGCCATGCTGATACTCGAAGTAGCCTCTTCAGTGATGTGACCACCAGAGGTGATACAGTTGCCAATGTAAGCGAATTGATCCATCACTTCCAGTCAAAGTTCGAAAAATAACCGGTGTGTCGGTCAAGTCCTGCAACAGCACTTTGGATTTTGAAGGTGCAAAGCACACGCCAGCCGTGCAGCGGTACGTACAAGTCTGTGCAGTAGTGCTTGCGTAGCCAACACGTCAGACCCAAGGAGAGCTATGTCGCCCGCCTACTGCAGGTTTGTCAGTCCATCGCCCGGCAGAATTTCCGCTCCAGAATAATCTGAAAGAACCGAGTTGTTCATGGTCATTTTGACCACAAACTAGAAGAGGAAAGGAGACTGGATTGCATTCCCCCGACATCTTGCGCTTAGTTACCATTCGGGGACTGTAGTCACGCTGTTGTCGTTCGGTGTCCTAGTATGTGAGGTGCTATCTACCACAGTCGTAGCAGGTACAAGCTAGTGCTGATTCGCTCCCCCATATTGTTATATCAGTTGGTTTAACGATTTATATATACCTCAGTGAAGTTTCCCCACTGAAAGGGTTGTTTAACTCGCCGCCTCCACTGCATAAGCCAGCAGAGGTACCCTCCATGATCAGTTGGTCGATAAAGATTATATGGTAGTTTTACTCTATTCTTTCAAATGTGCTGAAAAATCTAATCAAATCAGTAATGATGGAATGAGAAGAGTCTAATATGAAATAAGCGAAAATCTCAACATATAAGTAGCAACGTCATCCAACTGCACATGAGTATTACTCCTTCACATATTTGACGATTGTGGGAGTCCTTCCTGATGTGTCGGGATGTTTACACGGTGCTCAAATGTCACAATGCCAGAGTAGAAACCGCACGACAACATCGAACGAAGTCCACATCCACTCTCATAGCGCTTTGGTTTTACGTACCGGCCTCTCACACAAACGATGGGCAGGTGGATTCTGGAAATACCAACAAAACGGAATAACATTATGCAATGGTTCTTTGATAAGCTCACAAAAAAGGACTGATTTATACACTTCTGGTCCCGCTAGTCTATTGCATCGTTAAGTACTTTCTGCGACCTGATTGCGACGCTGATGTGACTGCTGCCAACACTGAATATGCAAAGCCAGTTGCATCCATGCGAAACTTCATGTTGATGCTACGCCTGATCTTGCGAGTGACACTTTTGGCATCCTTTTCGCGATATGGAAGCGCTACGGACGGTTGAAAACGTCTTTTTGTATTTTGCTTGTTATTGAAAGCCTTACCATCGACAGATCCAATATGACATGGAGGAAATCAACTTGCATTGTGGACTGGGTCGCGCCACATCTTCAGGAAATCGATTGGTGCCCATTACCCTTATTACGTTTAGCTGTTCACACTATTTTCTCAGTCCCGGATCAACATTTCACTTCACTGGACTAGTTTGTAATCGATATGCGTGCTCTTTTTAGCTGTTCTTAAGCTTTACTCTGGGCACGTTTGCAAGCAAGTGTGGCCCGCCCCACCTGAACGCCTCATTCTCTAACGTTTCACAAAATCGTCGGCTATTGTTCAATGTGTGTATGTTTGCCTACAAATAAAGATGAGCAAGCAAAATGCCATTAGCTACTGGTGAAGAGCATATAAATGTTTTGCATCCATTGTGCATCAAACGAGCGTTTATGGTCAGAAGCCGCTGCTGCTGTAATCGAGTTTACAGCCACCCACTGTCGTTAGGTGATACATTTGGGAATATTCGTCTCATCTTGCGACGGATGTGATGCAGCCGGTGCGAATGATTCAAGGACGATCTGAAACATGCGGTTCGGTTCATTTGAATAAATCCGGTCGGCGCACTGAAGTGCGGTGCATTCAGTTAACACGACTCACGTCGCAAGAATAATGACAAATAACAATGGCAAGACAGTGTGGTTAAAAGCCACTAGAATCTAAGGCAAATGTAAGGAAGAAGGAAGCAGGTTTAAGGTATCAGAATGGAACAAAAAGTACGAACCAGGTGAAGAAGCTGAGTGCAGGAACGTCCCAGACTGCATGACTGCACCTAGTCTGACACGGTCTTCAACCAACGGTGAGGAAAATCCTGAGGAACGAGCCCGACAAAGTCTCTCAGTCAGTTTCATCATGCCGTTAGGCCACGTCATGGAATGTATGTCTCGCGCGTTCGCCCAACTTGTTGCAGCCACGGGGAATAGTGTACGCCGTGGAAGCCAGTAAACGAACAACCAGAAGACGAGGCCAAGTCAACATAAGCGATAAAGGTTCAATAAAAGCTCCAGAAAAGCATCCCACCAAAAACCAACTATTGGACCTCAACATGGCTCAACCAACATTCCACCAATTGTAAACAATATTTCCCAAGCGTCGGTGGCAAACACGCCATGTCATGTGTGGACGGATTTGGGTATCATTCGAGTTGGTTCATCGCAATTAGATTGCAAACCGCATAGGTTAGCTACCAATACGGAAAAGAACCAGACGCGCGTTTCGCCTTATTGGGCTCGTCAGGGGTGATCATCCAACGGTCTCCTACTGGGGATGGAACCCATGACCGCAAGTGGCTAACACCAACCAGCCAGTAGCTTATGCCACTGAGCCATGGGGACGACAGCCGACCATTACGAATTGAAACCTAACTGCGATATAGCCCGACCAATCCTCCACTGTCGTGCAGGTTATTGCCCATGCAGAGGACAGTGCTTCGCCGTCACGGTCAAGTCTCCCCTTTCCAGCGCAGTGAATCCACACAGCAACGTTGAATACTGGTAGGGCTTCGGTTTTTGATTAGTAGTGTGTAGACGGACTTTGGTATCATTCGAGTTGGTTCATCGCAATTAGATTCCAAGCAGCATAGGATAGCTACCAATTCGCAAAAGCACCAGGCGCGTCTTTCGCGTTTCACGTAATATTCTTATTCACTGAGCTTCTGCAGAGCTTACATTAATAAGTCAAAATGCTTTGGCTAAGCTCAGCGTAAGCTTAAATATCTGTATGAATGTGGATTCTGCTAGATTTTCTGAAAATATCATATATACTCCTTTGAAGTGGAAGCATTTTTCAATATGATTACTCTTTTCCGCCTACCTCGTTCTCTTGCTTGAAAAATAATATTAACAAAAGTCATAAAAAAATAATCTAAGCCCTACCAGTGTTCAAATTTGCCCCGTGAATGCACGGCGCTGGTGCTTTTGCGTATTGGTAGCTAACCTATGCGGCTTGGAATCTCATTGAGATGAACCAACTCGAATGATAGCCAAATCCGTCTACACGTTACTAATAAAAATCGAAGCCCTACCAGTATTCAAATTTGCTGAGTGGATTCACTGCGCTTGCGGGGGAAGATCTGACCGTGACGGCCAAGCACTGTCCTCTGCATGGGCAATAACCTGCACGGCAGTGGAGGATGGGTCGGGTTATATTGCAGTTAGGTTTCAATTCGTAATGATCGTTTGTCGTCCCCCATGGCTCAGTGGTATAAGCTGCTGGCTAGTTGGCGTTAGCCTCTAGCGGTCATGGATTCGATCCCCATTAGGGGACCGTTGGATGTTCACCACTGACGAGCCCAATAGGGCGAAACGCGCGTCTGGTTCTTTTCCGTATTGGTAGCTAACCTATGCGGTTTGCAATCCGATTGCGATTAACCAAATCGAATAAAAATCACCCACATTTTTACTATCATTGTCGCGAACTGGCAAGCTCTCTGATCCGTACAGGATGACCTTACAGCAGCGTTATATACCCTACCTTTCACTGACAAGCTGATGTCCCAGCTTCTCCATAGATAGTTGAATCTCTGGAAAGCCACACATACCTTTCTTTTACGCAAGGTAACATCCTCAGTTATGTGACCACCAGAGGTGACAGAGTCTGAAAGAACCGAGTCATTCATGATCATTCCGATCGCAACGTTTTCATTGTTTTAGAAATGTCATTAAGCCATGGCGCGAGGTTGTCTTTGAGCATCAAATTTCGTTGTTGTACACTGCCCCCTCATGATTTCATGCAAGTGTTGAGCTACGGCGACAATGTCTCCCAGGTAAAAGTTCTACACTTATCTTCACTAGTGATCTATCTGTCACATTATGGGTTGTAATAACTATTTATAGAATTGACTGCCATAGAATATTTCAACAAATCATCAGGTATAACAGATCAATACCCACTTGGGACAGCGTCCAACATAGACATCATCTTCGTACTATTTTTTTCGAAACCTAACTGTTTCTTTTATCAAACTTCGTTTAACGAATAAAGTTAGCTTTAAAATTCGAGCCCAGGGTAACTTCTCAAGACCTCAACCTACAGTCTATTTTATCGTGGGGCTGCTGGTTAATGAAATGAGTTATAAACTTACCTATTTAGGAGGTGGTCGTGGTGATAATTGCCTCCTATCTAACTATCTTGAACAGAAGCCAGAACTCGTTCCCTGTGGTACTCTCCCATTGCTTGTCCTGGTGGATCCAACTTTTGCCATCGAAAAACACCTTGTTCATCGTTTAGCTGCGCTGAACTCCAATGGTTGGTGGCTGACTGATCATCTTTTCCAGAGCTATATTGATAAGTAAAATATAGATGCAAAACCATAAGCATTACTTTCCACATGGCTTTCGTTTGCTTTGGTGCATATTTCCTTTATCTCTAAATCGGTATCTTATCCTTACAAGGTGTTACCTTCACATGGAGCAAGAAGTTACAGGAACGTATAAAACCTCAATGTCTACCACATGTTCGGGTTCTGTCCACGTGACTATGCTGTTTGCGATATGAATCCATCATCTATCTAAACATGCTTGATGGACTCACCTACTTGAGATCATGCTTACCCTTACGAAGCTATAACAAACGCTGGAGAAATCAAGGGGCATCTGTTGACGTTACACTGATACCCATACGAACGTGTGATTGTGGAAGTTTAGTCTTTCTATTCCATCGTATCACATTATGATCCGGTGTCAATTTTCGGTGAGGGTGGGTGAGAACTTTTGATGAATTTTACCGCTGTACACTTGCAGGGAAGTACCCTGCGTAATGATTGCGGAACTTTTGAAATATGTGAGAAAAACGAGCGATCGCTCCCAATCTATAAGGTTTCCAAACACACTTGGAAAGTAAGTTAAACACTACATCAGTGTTTAACAGCGATTTTTCCAAGGTGTTTAGATGAACAGCTAGTTCCTACCATTTGGAATTAGAGTTCCATTGCCCCAATTTCTAAGGGTAGCAGCCGTGCAATCTAAAAATTACCGCCTAGTAGTTCTCCTCCCAATGTTCTCAAACATAATGAAAATGACTATTGAGTAGAGGGTTATTGGAAGTATTCGTTGCTTGATTGGATTACGACGCGCAATGCCAACTGGTACGTGATTCGTCTAGAGAAGAATCTTGACTGACTCGATCAATTGGACCGTAACTAAAATGTATGGGAATGGCGTGTTGCCTGCCTGAATACGCAGCACTTCACTACGCGTTTCGAGTGTGTCTGATCTCATCATGTAGATATAGCAAGCCTCGAACCCGAGAGCATTGGGCAGGCTAGTTGGGATCAATAGCCCTATAGCCACCGGCTCACGACGAGTAACGCTTGGTACAACATTGTGCCAAGGGTTGACCGTCGTGACCCGGTACTCGAAGAGGTACATGTTTCAAATGGTGCCGGGCTGCACCTGATGAGAGCAAACAAGGTCGAAAAGTGCAGTAAATATATGATCCTCATTAAGGCACAGTCTTTTACTTGTGAAGGATTGCATCAGCAAGGCATGTCAAATTAAGGACCCCCCACGTGCCACCCTTACAATTTCTGAATGCTGGCGTACATAGCTGTTATTGGTGAAAGTCGTGTCGCCATGGGTCATCCCTTAACTCTGCAACGTTCATAACTTGCGGGATAGCAATACGCGGTACATAACATTTGGCTTGTAAATCATGAACGTCCGCCGCGACCCCCATGGCTCAAGGGCATAAGCTGCTGGGCCGTCGTTCCAGCAGCTAGTGGTTGCGGGTTCGGATTCTGATGGATGCGCACTAATGACTAAACAAGAGGTTGAAATGGTCGTTTAATGTTTTTCTGAGCACGTGGCTGATTATCTGGTTTGAAAACTACTACTATGAAACGCACAACATTTAACTCAAAATTCCCCTGCTACTGAATATATATATATATATATATATACATATATATATATATTGATGCTCGTGTTCAGCCCTCATTATAAAAAATCAGACACATGCAGCCCTTCAGTAGTCCAGTTGGACATCCCTACCTGACATGATGTCGGACATTTCGACGTCTGTGTACAGTTCTGTTGCGGTTCATGAGGGTTTCCAGTCCGATTGACTCTACCCAGCAATCGATGAAATGCACCACTTTATATCAGTGCTCTGAAACAAGGCTTCCGAATCTCATGTTTTCCCATTGACAATCATCATTTTCTGAAAACGCCTGGACGAATAACTCACCCATGTACAATCCATCAAGCAGCGTTTCCCCACCATCCGAGGTCATGGACGACAGTTCTGGCTTTACTGACTGGCACAAACTTGTGTATAAAAGCAAGGAGAAGAGTGGAAATCCTACCTCACGTACATGTGAAAATAAGTGGCAGGATTCTCGACAGAAAAAAGACATAAATCTCTATTTACAATGTGTATGGAAATTCCCTACGAACCATACAAGGCGAACGACAAGGGACAAAGTTCTTCACTAGTATTACGCCACTGTTCACTGCTCCCGGATGGCACATGGTCGCTGTTGGCGTACATACGTTATGTCACATAAAAATACGTTGGGCGATCTCGACTTCATGCATCATTGGCTAAAATAATCCCAGTCACAACGGCACGCAGAGAGGTTGCCGATAGAAACATAAAACTCTACAGCTGCCTACATTAATGCTCGCTTGGTCTACCAGCCACGCAACGCTTTAGTGATTTCGGTTGTTTCTCATCTGACAGTGTCTGTCCCAAAAAACAACTAAATGACGCATATCTTTGCTTGCACTTTGTCCAATCTACTGTGGCCCACCTGCAGTTGCAGAATACGAGGTGTCAGCAACTGTTAACAATTCTAGGAGGCAACACCATAGATACCTACATCACCTGATGTTTTGAGTGAACGACGATACTGATGACATCATTGTAAAATCTTACACTATGTTTGCATCTCTCAGCTGAACCCCAAGGCAGGGAATTGTAGCGTAAATTGCTTCATACGTGGCTGGCCATTGTTCTCATGGGTTTCCGCCGTTTCCATCAACCTCTCTATTACCGGATGAGAAGCCTACATCATTTGTATCGGCAGTTGGCTGCTACAACATGCCTAGCCTGCCTCCAGTCGTTTTGTACAGATTCATGCAACACAGTTTGTATTTCAACTTAAAGCCAAACGAGTGCACACAGTCGGCACCGCGCTTGGTTCGTTAAAATTTGCTAGCCTTACTAAGGACGTGACAATTTTTTCTTCCTTTGCTTCCTTTTGGCATACCCTGGCTGTACCCACGGACGCTGCGGATTTTGGAGTCACCGTGTGCTGGATACTACTTTGTTTCGAAGTACTGTGTTACAAGTGTTCTTTCTGGATGAATTGTGCACCAATTATACTTCTTTTAGTGTAGTTTCCGATCGGTGCAAGTTTGGTGGATATCCTTTGGCTAATTCCGGAGATCGCAGTGATTTGCCCTACCGCCATCTTAGATTTGCTCTAGCTTGTGATGCTGTCTCAAGCTACTTGTGGTTCGCGTTCCAAGTAGTTGGACATAGGGCTTTGGCTACAATGTTTGTTCCATATTTCGTGCACTGGCTTATCCGTTGACGTGTTTCGAAAATCTCGCGACATCAGACATCAATATTTCCTAGTTACATGTGATAAAAGTCTCGGTGTAAGATATCAGAATACACAGCGACCGCCAACAACTACGGGAAAGCCTCTTTTCCAGGCAGAAACAAACCGTTCACCACGTGGTATCAAACGCCCTCGTGAAAGTACCTCTGTCACCTCGCCTTCCATCGTCACTCCACGATCTACACCACCACCAGCGTCTTCGACCCCAGCCGAGCCCCAGGTCCAATGTTCCCCACCGATCATAGACTCAGGCTCGAAACCTACGAAATGCTGCTTCAAAGATTGGTCCGTGGATTTCTCAGAGCCTGTCTGTGAACTTCTGAGCACCGATGATCCATGGACCACTCAAAAGTGCAAAGGGCCCTGTAATCGAGTTCAGTCGTCTCCTGCTGATAAACAACTACCTAATCAGGTAAAAGCTTCTAGTCCTGCTTCCACGCGTTCATCACCGATTTCCCTGAGGCGTCATAATCTACTGATCTTCACGTACCAGAGGCAAAAGATGAAAACCATCAAATACGCTATGATCACAATGTTGAGTTCTTCCAGCGTCTCATCAATAGACTCTTGGATGTGCGTGAAGACAGTGTGATGATTAAACAAGTAATCCGACTTGGCCAGAAAACTAACCAGACATGTCGACCTCTGAGATTCACTTTTCTAAATCACAATATGCCGCAGCTCATACTGTCTCCTTTGTCAAGGCTGAAAAGCATAAAGTTCACATCCCTCCGAGACTTGAAACCCGAAGTCAGGGATCGTTTGAAGACTGCGGTCAATGAACTCAAACGCCGTACAGACGTAGGCAAGACTGCCTTACAAATTTGTGAATTTTATGATGATCAAGAAGGGTGTACGAACCCGTATCAACCGGTTGTTCAACCTCCAGGCACGTCCCGCTCTACCTCCCAGGACCTCCGTGTCGCATTCGCCAACGTGTGCAGCCTAATGAACAAACGTGACGAACAGTGCCGCTGCGCTGTCTCGGAGCGGCCGGACGTTTTATGACTTGCAGAGATTTGGCTGAACTCCGACGTCATACCCCACGAAGTCGCGTTGACAGGATATTCTTGTTTCCGACGCGACCGTAAATCAAAGGCTCACGGTGGTGTTCTGTTGTGCATAAAGTCGTCACTACCTGAAAAATTTACCAGCATTTATCGGAGCGAGGATAACTTAAGTGAGCAATTGTGGCGCAAATCCGCCTCAGACGCACAGAACTGATAGTGGGTGTTATCTACCGTAGCCCATTAAACCGTTGTTGCGATTGGCTACCACATATACAGAAGCACATGAGCCGCCCTCACTTCTTACTGATGAGGGATCTAAATTTACCTAAGATATTCTGGCCAGACGTTCGGCTTCTTTCCGGTCATGGTGACGTTGAGGCTTGATTCGCTAAAATGACTACTGTAATTGGGGCAACGCAACGTGTCATCCAACCGACGCGTAACTCCGTACTCGGCATCTTGTCTGGACTTAATGTTTACCAGTTGCAAGCAGAATCTGAAAGAGATCAGAGTCCTCGAACCTCTAGCGAGCAGTGATCGCTGCTCCATCGTGGCATACATAGAACTGCCGTTACCGTATTACAACCAACGGAAGCCAACATTCAAATATCGGAAAACTGACTTCAACGGGCTCGTCCAAGCCGCAAATCAGACTGATAGGACACTATCACAGGATGCGTCGCTTGAGGGCAGTTGGTCATT